CTATCTATCTATCTATCTATCTATCTATCTATCTATCTATCTATCTATCTATCTATCTATCTATCTATCTATCAATCATCTACTCTCTAGCCATCTCCATCTCTCTCTCACTCTTTCTTTGCATCTCGCCTTTATTACTTTTACAAATAACTCAAGGAGGTGCACATATCCAACACACCTCCTGTTTTCCCCACAACACCCCTGTGAGGTGCATTGGGCTGAGAGAGAGAAGGGATTGGCCCAAAGTCACCCAGCTGCCTTCCATTCCTAAGGCAGGACTAGAACTCCCCGACTCCTGGTGATTGACCTAAAGTCACCCAGCTGGCTTTCATGGCTAAGGTGAGACTTGAATTCATGGCTTCCTGCCTTTATTTGTTAAAATACATTTTTGCATGAGGATGCTACGGTTTTGATCCAAAATCAGAAACCATAGAGAAATCGATGTGCGATCCTTACTTATTTTCAACAATGATCATGATTAGGTTCTTCCTCTTTCCTTTTGCCTTAAGGGAAACCTATCACACTTGGGACAATAGTTTGCCTTTGCCCCCGCTCCCCCCCAAAAGGAAATGTTAGGAGCCAGTGGGGATCCACATCCTTTGCTGTGTCCATCATCACTCCCCTCCTATGGATTTGCTATAATGTTTTCAAGCTCTGCACTCTAACTGCTTACAACTCTCAAGCCCAATAATATGCAATCCAGAGGAAAATATTTGATCTGATTTTAAAAAAAGATTGCAGTTTGATGCTTCGCTCTCCTGGTTGAGCAAGGGGTTGGACTAGCAGATCTCCAAGGTCCCTTCCAACTCTGTTACTCTGCATTCTCCTTTCTAATACACTCTGCCCAATCTCGATATTAACGTATCAGTTATCCTCCTTCCCCCCCCACCCCTGGTCTTCTTTCCATCCTCGCTAATTCCCCTTTTATTCCCCGGGAATAAAAATGGGCCTGGTTCTAGAACTTTTCCTGCAAGGAAATTAAAGATGCAAGTTACCTCACTGGCCAGCTTTTCATACTCCTGCATCAGTTTCTCATTCTCTTGATTGACAGCCAGCACTTTGCAGATCCTATTGGCTGCTGTCTCAGCCTGGAAGCAAAGGGGGGGGGGGGGAGAAGCAGACATGATTTATAACACACCATAAAAAATATTTTCTCTCTCCCTCTGCCCCCACCCAGGAGATGGGGAGAAAGGAACTTCCTGGGTTTTTCTATTTCCCCTGTACATTCTCTGCTAAACATACACGTCTTTGGAAAAAAAATATCTTAACTGAAAGATAACAAAGCAAAACAGTTTATGGTATTTTAAACTAATCCTGATTTGGCAGGATTGAATTCATCAGGAATGAATTCTGCAAAAGCCCCAGAAAATGACATGAGGGGAAGAGTACAGGTAGTCCTCGACTTACAACAGCACATTTAGTGACCGTTCAAACTTACAACAGCATTGAAAAAAGGGACATATGACCATTTTATACACTTACGACTATTGCAGTATCCCCATGGTCAAATGATTTACATTCAGATGCTTGGCAATGAACTCATACTTATGACGGACAGAGTCCTGGGGTCGGGTGATCCCCTTTTGCGACCTTCTGACAAGTTAAGTCAACAGAGATTCACTTAACAACCCTGTTTCTAACATAACAACTGCAGTGATTCACTTAACAAACGTGGCATGGAAAGTCGTAAAATGGGGCAAAGCTCATTTTACAAATTTATCACTTAGCAACATAAATCCTGGGCTCAATTGTGGTCATAAGTCGAGGTTTATCTACACAAAACAAGTCTATATATATTAGTTTGTCCCACTGAGTCTTGCCTCCTATAAAGTTCAACACCTAAGGAAGAAACTTGATTTTTACCTGCTCCGCACCAGCAAAAGCATGATAGAAACAAGAAACGTATGTCATGATGGCTTTCTCATCTGGTTTGGGGGTGTTGACAATATCTGTAGAGAGGAACCAGGAAAAGAAGCAGATAATGGAAGCAGAACACGAAGAAGCATTTTCTTTTCAGAAGATTTGCCCCTCGGCCAACCCAACTCTGATAAGAATAGCAATAGCACTTAAACTTATAAAGCACTTCACTGTGCTTTTACAGCCCTCTCTAAGCGGTTTACAGAGACAGCCTCTTGCTCCCGACAATCTGGCTCCCCATTTTACCGATCTCGGAAGGACGGAAGGCTGAGTCAGCTTTGAGCCTGATGGGATTTGAACTGCCAAATTGCAGGTAGCCGGCAGTCAGCAGAAGGAGCCTGCAGTACTGCACTCTAACCACTGTGCCATCGCGGCTCAAGAAGCTTGATAATGCAAGAGAGCAAGTAAGCCTGAACGCAGATGTGTCCCCTTCACCTGCCCCTCCGGTGAACAAGTTCCCCAGCCACAGGAGCATCCCCAACTTACTCTGCTCCGGTCCAATCCTACATTTTTAAACCACGTTGAGCTTCTCTTACCTTCTGCGTCCAGCATCTTGGGGATATCCAGATATTTCTCAGCCACTTCAAAAGCTGTATTGAGGTTCCCAATGGGATCATCCTAGGGAAGACATGGACACAATTATCCTAGTATAGGGGGTTTCAACTCTGAGAAAAGGGAGCTGTCTAGGATAGAGGGAGGGAGGGAGGGAACAAGTTGGACATCTCTTAACCGAGGTTTGCATGTTCATGAAAAAAAAATCACTGGGGTGATAGAAATCTGACCCAAACTAGGTTCTGAGCCTGTCTTGCATTGGTAATATCTGTCAAGCGCCGAGGAAATCAGGGGATTCAAGCAGCAAATGAGTATAAAGATTAAATGCGAACTTAAACTCGCTACAAAAATCTGAGCTACTAACGGTCAAAGGAAATTGGTGGTAAATAAAAATCAACAGAATTCAAGGTTGGCTGGGCTTAGATCTCTTGTGGGCGTGCAGGAACCCGTGACTTATGATGTGTTCAACCCCTCCCTTGGGCTCAGCCTGGTCATCCCCTACAGTATCTCCCCTTTCTAGCAGGGGTTCTCCAAAGCTTAGGCAGTGAAATTGCTGAGTCTTTGAATTGGATGGGCCAAATCCTGAACTTGGGGCTGCCTTCATGCAAAGCAGAATCTTAACTATAAAGTTACACTGCTTAATCTAGTGATAATCATAATGGAGGTGAGGGGAGTATAGTGCATCTTTATACTTAAGCCACTATGCATGTCACAGTGCAGAGATAAGGATAGCAATAGCAACAGCCCTTAGACTTATATACTGCTTCAGTGCTTAAAGCCTTCTCTAAGCAGTTTACAGAGTAAGCATATTGCCCCCAACAATCAGGGCCTTCATTTTATAGACCTCAGAAGGATAGAAGACTGAGTTAACCTCAAGCCAATCAGGATCAAACTGCTGGAATGAGCAGCGAGTTAGCCAGCAATCCTGCATTCGAACCACTGGATGGGCAGGCAGGCAATAGCAACAGCACTTAGACTTGAGCCAATCAGGATCGAACTGCTGGCAATGGGCAGAGTTGTCCTGCAATACTGCATTCTAACCACTGCGCCACCACAGAAGATCTGAGTTGCAAAAATCTGCACAAGCCCTCAACCACTGAATGCTGTAAGCCACATCAAAGTGGGAGGAACAGTGGGAAGGCAGCAAACAAACCAAAAACCAAACCAAATCAATATAGCCGGCTGCCTTTTTCTAAAAAATATGCATTGCTTGGACATAAAGAGATGTGCAGCTTCAATCATGGAGCCATGCCTGCCATTTTGACCTTTTTTGATACCCATCCTTGTGGCACATTGATGAGATGGTTAGGGGGGGATGTTAGTGAGAGATGAGGATGAGCCCAGAAGCTGCTTTAAAGAAAAGAAAAGAAAAAAAGAAAGAGAGAGAGAGAGAGAGAGGGAGGGAGGGGGGCAGCCAAAAGAGTCAGAAGGAAAGAGCCACAAGTGCTCTACAAGGAAAGCCCATCACCTTTCTGAGCTTGGCGTAATCAATGAGGTCGGGACGATGCCGATGGATCAGGGCGCAGAGTGCCAGGCCATCCTTCCAGCTAGTAAGGGGCACATTGGGAGAGAAGGAAGATTGAGTGAGTGTGGGATGCATTCAACTGAAGCCAAAGGTCTCCCTCCCCATTCAGATAGTCCTCGACTCACAATGTTTCATTTAGTGACTGTTCAAAGTTACAACGGCACTAGAAAAAGTGAGTAATGACTGCTTTTCACACGAACAACCACTGCAGCATCCCTAGGGTCACATGATCCAAATTTAAGTGCTTGGCTCATATTTGTGACGGTTGAAGTGTCCCAGGGTCACATGATCCCCTTCTGACAAGCAAAGTCTATAGGGAAATCAGATTCACTTAACAAGCATGTTGCTAACTTTAAAACTGCAGTGATTCACTTAACAACCTTGACAAAAAACATCGTAAAATGGGGCAAAACTCACTTAACAAACGTCTCATTTGACAACAGAAAGTTTGGGCTCCATTGTAGCCATAAAGCCAAGGACTACCTGTAGCTTCTATTCCAGATCGGTCACAATAGCTTAATGATTTATTTCCCAACCGTTCTTGTGATTTGTTATTGTGGTTTCGCCCTGAAGTCTTTGGCCTTTCTCTAAATTATGGCATTCCACAAAGCTTTTTGATACAGGTAGTTCTTAAGTTATGACTGAGATGGAGCCTCCCCATTATGGTTGTAATGGCTGTAAAACGGGTCATCATATAACTCACCACAATGGCTTGTGATGGCTGTAAAACAGGTTATGTGTCTGACCTCATTTTTACAACCTGAGTCTGTGGTGTTAAGCGGTAAGAGCATCGTAAAACACGGTGATGTGATCGTGGGTTGGTGCAGACGGCTGTAAATTGGCCTGGTTGCCGAAGGCTTAAAGTGCAGTGATGTGATCTCAGATGAGGTCCAACCATTAGAACTTCAAATCCAGGTTGTAAATACCTGCTCCCTCCCCCACCCCAGGTAGGTCCATCAGAATCTTGACTGGTCATAAGTCAAGGACTACCTGCATATATTACTATCTTGGCTACTTGAATAATTCCGCTTAAAGACTGGGTTTGTTCTTAAGAGATGTTGGTGTGTTCTGAGCGAGGCTTCCCAAGAGCCTGAAGCAAACTCCTGGTCCCGACAAAAACCCCTTTTATTAATTTGCTGTGAATTCTGCTCATTCACATCCAGCGAAGTCTTTCGAGGGAGGATTTACAGTCACAGACCTTCTCTGGCTTGGAGAGCTGCCAGGCCAACATCTGCAAAACTCTTGGAGAGTCGCGAACCAATTAAGTGAACTAATTGTTTCCTGCAAACTCCACTCCCCTTTCGCTCCTCTTTTATTTCTTTCGGGAGGGGCCATTCACTGTCCACCTGTGGCCTTCCTCCCAAGTCGACCCCTGTTCTTTAGCTGTTCTCTTCATCTGGCCACTCTGTGCATGCGCACACTGGGAACAGGCTCCAGGTGTTCGTCTGCCCCAGTGATATCTGACTCTGAAGGCAGCTGATAATTGGCATATGGCCCTGGTCCCCTCTCTGCCTCTGACACAGAGCCCTCGTCTGAGCCTTCCCCAACCTCCCCACTGTCCAAATCTGTTGCCAGCTCCACTGTCCATTGTCGGGCCACAGCATGGCGTGATTGTCAGCCATAAAATTAAATGGCAGCCGGCAGTGTGATGCAGTTGCTAAAATGGCAAATGCTCTCAGGAGCACAAGGTCATTATTCCATTCTGCCCCAGGAAGACCTCACTTGAAATACCGTGTCCAATTTTGGAGGCTGCCATTCGAAAATGGCAATGACGAATTGGAGCAAGTTCAGAAGAGGGCTTTTCAGAGGATGAAAAATCCAGAATCCAAGTGCTAGGAGGATCAGTTGAAGACTTTGGGCATGTCTGGCCTACGGAGGAGGTGACTAAGGAGAGATATGATAGCAGTCTTCGCATAACTGAAAAGCTAGGAGAAGGCATGGAGAAGGCATGGACTTATATTACGGTGTTGCCCCTGAGGGTAGCCTAAACCTCTGGGTTAAAATTACAAGGAGGGAGATTCAACTAAGCGTCAGGAGGAACTTTCTGATTGCGTGCACTTGGGGGGGGGGGGGAGATTACCATGTGATGGGCTAGTGAATTCCTTTAGTTCTTAGTTCTAATCAAGGAGCAAGCCAACCTTAGTTCTAGGTTGGTTTTCTCCTTGTTTAGTTTCCATCCGTTGCTTCTTGTCTTGTCTTCAGGTGTTTGGGGTCAACCTGTTCGCTAAAGCCCATTAAGGCAGGACAAGAAGCAACAGATGGAAACTAATCAAGGAGAGAAGCAAGCTAGAACTAAGGAGGAATTTCCTGACAGAGATAACAATTCATTAGTATAACGGCTTGCCACCAGAAATTGTGGGAGCTGTTTATTCAGCTCCAAGTTTTTAAGAAGAGATTGGACAGCCATTTGTCTGAAATGGCTCAGGGTTTCCTGCTTGAGCACAGGGTTGGACTAGAAGACCTCCAAGGTCCCTTTCAACTCTGTTAATTCAGCAACATTAAGCCCACATCTTTGGGGTACCTAATGTGGAAGTTCTGCACATTGACGTTCCGGTAGGGAGCTGTCTTCCTTTGGCACCACAGCAGCAGCCCCTCTTTGGCCGAAGTTTCTGGAAGAGAAAGGAAGGAAGTCCCTTCAGCCTTAAGCCAGCCATGACATAAACTCTACATTTTCAACAAGCTTCTCTTCATTTATTATATCAGGAAAGAAGTTCTGAATCAGTCTTACCTCCTCTGACTGGCAGGGTCCCTGAATCTGGAGCCTCTTTTGTCTAGTCCTTCCCTTGAGCAGAGGAATCTGTCCTTGGCCAAGCACATTCATTTTTTCATCTAAGCCCGAGGTCCCCAAATTTGGCAACTTTAAGACTTGTGGACTTCAACTCCCAGAATTCCTCGGCTAGTTCCCAGAATTCCTCCCATAATTCTGGGAGTTGAAATCCACAAGTCTTAAAGTTGGCAAGTTAACCTTAATGTAGGTTTAGCCTGCTTTGATGGGCAGGCATGTTCTCCATCCCCATTATCTCATTAGAACACAAACAACCTTCTGCATGCAAACCAGAAGTTCTACTTTGGAGCCAATCTCAGTTCTGAAAGGATTACAGGGCATGTTTGTTGCTTTGTGTTGATTATTTATTTACGCTGCCTAAATCGCATCATTTGAGTTAGGATGGTTTCATAAATGTTGTCAATTAAAAGAAGAAACAAGGTTGGCCCATCAACTTCAGTACTGCTTGGTCTGTTTGGTAGTGATTTGCCTGATCTGTTACTAAAAATCTCCAATCCTTTCCTCTTAGTGAGGTGCTGGGAATTAGATCTAGGAAAGTTGGGGAACGAACTGCGGACTGGTGCCATCTCCAGATAGATACTTTGAAATCAGATTTCAAGGAACAGGTCAAATCCAAAGGCCTCTTGCCTTTCATGCTTACCTTCCACTGAGATGTCCTGGATAGCGAATCGGAGGATGATTGTCCAGATCATACCCAGAGTCATCTTCAGGTTTCCATCCACAATTTCTGGAACAGAAGCAGAGAAGGAGCATCAAAAGTGATGCACATGGGAAAGGCAAGCTGAGAGCAACAGATACATAATCTTTGGAGCATCCCCCATGATCATGTGATCCAAAGGGTTGACAATCAACTCATATTTATGACGGTCGCCCTGTCCTCGGGGGTCACGTGATCCCCTTTTGCGACCTTTCTGACAAGCAAAGTGAACGGGGAAGTCAAAATGTACTTAACAACAGGGTTACTAACTTATCAACTGCAATGATTCAATCAACCACTGGGACGAGAAAGGGCGTAAAACAGGACGAAACTCACTTAAGAACTATCTCACTTAGCAACAGAAATGTTGGGCTCCATTGTGGTCATATGTTGAGGGCTACCTGTACTTGCTGCGTGCCAGAAGGAGATTTTTCTCACTTCTTTTCCGGAGGGTAGAGAAAGAAAATATCCCCTTCACAAAGGTTACTTACCCTCAGCTCCAATGGATACCAACTTCACCCCCTTACTGGAAATGAAGTCCAGGGCCTTGTTGACATTAGCAATTTTGTGGAAACGCATCTTGCCCTTGTCTGGCTTTGGCAACCGCTCACCTTGTGGAGAAAGAGAGGAACAGTGGAGGTAGAAAGAGGATTGTGATACCCGTCCCCACCATGGCAGCACTTAGAGGCACCCGATCCCAAACCCAAAACTCCACTGACTTGCACTCATCGGCGTGCTTCTGCTTCCTGCATGCTGATTGGCTGACACTGTAGTGACTCATAAAACATAGAATAGGGTTGGAAGGGACCATGGAGGGCTTTTAGACCAGGGGTTGGCAACCTGCGGCTCTGGAGCCGTGTGTGGCTCTTTCATCCCTCTGCTGCGGCTCCCTGTCACTCAAAATATGCGTCACAACCGCCAATGTGAGACACCTGCCGGCACGCATTTATTGAGCTTTTTGAACCCTGGTAGGCCAACCATGAATAAATATGGTTTTTTTTAAATACATAGCATAAAGGTAAAAAGCAATATATGCCTTGTAATTATTATTTTAGATGTCAAAAGGGTTTTGTGGCACCCAGTGTTTTCTGTGGGAAATAGGTCCAAATGGCTCTTTGAGTGTTTAAGGTTGCTGACCCCTGCTCTAGACCAATCCCCTATTTAAGCGTTCTGTACAAATAGTTGCCCAATCACTTCTTGAAAACCTCCAGCGATGGAGCACCCATAACTTCTGGAGACAAGTTGTTCCACTGGTTAGTTGTTCTCATTATCAGGAAATTTCTCCTTAATTCTAAATTGCTTCTCTCCTTGATTAATTTCCATCTTCTTTTTGTCCTGTCTTCGGGTTCTTTGGAGAATAGGTTGACCCCCTCTTCTTTGTGGCAGCCCCTGAGATACTGGAAGACTGCTATCTTGTTATCCTTAATACTTCTTTGACTAGAAGTATAACTTATTCCCACAGTCAGCCCTATGTCAAAATGTAGATCACATTGTGACTAGCTCTAAGCTGAGGGTATATATCTGATTTTTTAAAAATAAACAATGCTATGCTTAGATGGCATAGACCTTGGCATATAAAATATAGATCTTTTTAATATTTATATTTTATTGTGTTTTATTAATCTATCTGAAATGTTAAAATATATTGCTACTCCATGTATAGAGCTATACACTAAATAAATAAATCTTTAAACTGTAACCTCCTGTTTACATCTCTGCTGCTGGGGGCTGACCCCCATCACCTCCCAACATCAGTGTTCTCCTACCTGAAATCACCTCTAATAGGAGCATGAGTTTTAGGCCATTCCGGAAGTCTTCTTCAATATTCTCAATCTGTGTCCCGGCCTTCCGCAAATGGGAATTGCACCAAGCTGTGAATGTCTGTTTGGATTATGGGAGTGGGATGGGGGGGGGGGGGGAGAAATACAGCAAAAGTCAATATGGAGTATTTGGCTGTCACAAGTACCCACTGAATAACTACAGTTTCCAGAGATAGAGCAGTTTTGCTAGGTTTACACTCACAAAAAGTCCTTAAACATTTATTGCAGCATAAGATTTTGTGGTCTGCATCCATCTAATTTGTTTATTTGTTCTTTTGTATCCTATCTTTATTTTTATTTTTTTACAAATAACAAAGTAGCAACTGTATCCAACTCTCTTTCCTCCTCCTATTTTCTCCACAACAACTACCCTGTGAGATGGATAGGGCAAAGAGAGAGAGGGACTGGCCCAAAGTCACCCAGCTGGCTTTTATGCCTAAGGCGGGACTAGAACTCACCAACTTCTGATGAATGGTTCAGAGTTACCCAGCCAGCTTTCATTTATAGGGTGGAACTAGAACTCACCGTCTCCTGGTGATTGGCCCAAAGTCACCCAGCTGGCTTTTATGCCTAAGGCGGGACTAGAACTCACCA